TTTTTTTTTTTTTTTTTTTTTTTTTTTTCAGAAAATTTTATGGTCGAACGCAACTGGAACATCCTGGCTTAGCAATCCCGGTATCTTGTGCTCAAAAAAACGATGCTTCACCGCATTTAACACAGGGGGCAGAAAGTACAATTGAAAAATTGAGTATCATTGAAGAAGATCACTTTTTTTCATCAAATAATAAAATAATTCAAGCGGGTCCGTGTGGTCATGCGTTTTTGCAGTATTTCATGCCATAATAAGATCACTTGGAGTCCCAGTAGTTAGAATTTGTGGCATACTGGTCCTCGAAGTTCAGGAAGTTGAATGTGTAACTATGTGTTGTTTGGTCAGGGAACATCCCTGGCAACTTTAATCAGCAACTATTGTTGCATCACAGCGTACCTCAGAATCACCAGCATAGTTAATGAACTATGGGTTGAAATGTGCATGAAAATTAGACAGACACTTGGTAATTTTGTTTGATAAGATTCTTCAGGTCGACATTAAATGAAAGATTGAAGTTGCAGGCACCCCAGATTGGCTTCGTATGTATTCGCGAGCACCATTCGAGCTGGATCATTTGTTGGAATTATGTTTATTTCATTAGTTATCTCTACAATTATGTGTATTTTTTGTCATATCATCCGTCCAACGCTCTTTTTGTGCTGGGTAACAGTAAGTACAAAACGTATGTTGTCACGGGGTTGTCTTTGTGTGTGTATGGCCGTGTGCGCATTATCCCGCATTTTCAATTCGGGAACCACGAAAGCTGGGACGCTGAAATTTTGATAGAGTGTTTTCCGCTCGCGTACGATCCAGCAAACTTAAATTCGGCCTTCACTTACCCGCGGGTACCAAGTATGACCCCGCGAAGTTTTGGTGGGGGAAATTATTATCTCGGGAACCACGAAAGCTAGGAAGCTGAAATTTTGAGGTAGTGTGCTCTGCCCACATATAACCACTCGCAAGTATAAATTCGACATTCTTGCGCCCTCGGTTATCACATGTGGCCTCGTGAAGGTTTTGACGGGGAAATTATTACCTCTCAAGACACAAAAGCTATGGGGCGAAAATTTTACGTTAATGTCCTTTGCCCAGGTACAACTCCACAACTTTAAATTTAGCTTCCCCATAGGTGTGGGTTTCGCGTACGACCTTGTGAATGTTTTGGTGGGGAAAGTTATTTTGGTGACCACGAAAGCTGGGAAGTCGAGATTTCAGGTTATTGCCCTCTGCTCACGTGTGGTCCTGTGAATTCAAATTCAGCTTTCATGTGCGCATGGATCTCAAAATCTGTGAGTGTTTTGTTGGAAAAAATTATTACCCTGAAGCCAGAAGAGATAGGAGGCTGAAGATTGCAGGAGAATGTTTTCTGCCTATGCAGTGCTACACAAACCCATATTTAATTTCCAATTATACCGAGGTCTCACGCACGAACACATAAAAGTTTTGGCTCGGAAATCACTCAAAAGCCAGAAAATTAGG